GGAAAGAGAGAGAGGCAGAAAGCACAGCACCCCCAATAGGGTGTGGTTACAACACAAACCCTTCTCTATCTTTCCCTCCTGTTGGGGTTTTGGGCACACATATGCACCACGCTCCTGTGCCTATCAAGCTGCCAGGGCTGGGATAACCATGATCAGCCATGTGGGATTCAGACCTCTTAACCAGTAAGCCATGAGGCTGACCCTCTCATCATCTAAATCACATGATTTTGTGAAGATACAATGACACAATAAACACACAGCAGGAGTTGTACGAGGAAACGGTAAAAGTGGAATATTGGGTTGAAGAGACCGAGGAGGCCTAGCAGTCTCTGCCCACCTCCAACGTCACCATTTGCTTGGCCATGGCTCTCTCCACAGCTTCATACATCTGCGTGTTCTGAATCCCCCCTCTCATCATCTAAATCACATGATTTTGTGAAGATACAATGACACAATAAACACACAGCAGGAGTTGTACGAGGAAACGGTAAAAGTGGAATATTGGGTTGAAGAGACCGAGGAGGCCTAGCAGTCTCTGCCCACCTCCAACGTCACCATTTGCTTGGCCATGGCTCTCTCCACAGCTTCATACATCTGCGTGTTCTGAACCCCAAAGCCACAAAAGATGACGAAAGCTTCCAGAAACTGCTCATCATTCCGGTTGAAAGGCTTAACCTTGCCAGTATTCTCTTCCATCTTATTAACAAGCTGGCAAACCCCTATAATAAGCCAAGAAATTGAGCAAATGTTATCGTTAATTATTGCAGTTTTATTGACTTTCACACATGTACCCAGAGATTGTTTTATACTTTTCTCCCAGGAATGCTTGGCCTCCCTAAGGAAGCCCATAAACTGCCACAAATATAAGCCGGAAAAGTAAACTGAACTAAATTATATGAGAACTAGTTTCACATAGTCCTAAACGTATGTTGCCTGTGTTCCAAAAATCTTAGAGTACTATTTTCTTCCAGACTCAGTCGTGAATTTTAGATCAGTCGAGTCCCCAAAGACAATTTGTCCTTTGGAAACTAATTGGATTTTTGTACGCTTGCCAAGAGAACAATTTTGATGCACATCCGAATTTTGGGTCACACAGATTGGCTTTCCTTACTGAGAAGCAAGATGTTAAAAACACAACTGTGTTCAAAACAGAATGCAGGAAACCAGCAATTCGCATAGTCTCAAATTTCAACTATGCCACTCTACATCGAGCGGAATCGCATTTGCAGACGTTTGACAGTGCAAATAAAATGACTCTTAGAAATAAAGGCAGATGTAATCTTTAAAGAAAATCATAGCCTCTCCAGTCCTGACCTCTCTTAGAAAGTCAAACGTGTAGTCAGTAAGAATGGAAGATTACATCAATGCTATGACCTTTATTGAACTCATGGCTCTATGAGATTCTGGGCCTAGGAATCCCTCCTTGAGGATTTTGGCGATAGTAACTATGTATGTTTGGTCAACAATCCTTATCCTTTCTGTCCAGGAGTGTATGCTAACGACTTCTACCATAACCCAGGATTTGGAGCATACATGCACATATACCCAGCATGTTTTTCAAGTCATTGGGGCCAGGATTATTACCACAGTGGGCCATGTAGAATCTGGCTTCTTTAACCTATAGGCTATAAGGTGGCCCAGCGCTCACAGTGTATACTGTGAAGAAGGTATGATCATCTCATTTTACAGATGAGGAAATGAAATCCCAGGAAGGTTATAACATTTGCTCAAAGTTGCTAAGCTACTACACGTGGGTCTCAAATGTGATCCCTGGCTCCATCCGGCCCTAAAGGATATACTGTCTTCTACTTCACGTGGCTGCCCTCCTGTGTGGTAGATCTTGCTAGAAGTTCTCCAACTGTAGCTGGCCTGCCTGCCCTTCGCCTGGCTTTTCCACAGGCTGGTACTGTTCCCCAATGCCCTCCTTTCTGTCTTCTCAGGTGATGTCGATGCCCCCTGCCCAATGAGCCTCCACTGCCCAGGTGAGGCAGACCCTTCTCTGTTCTATGCTCTTTTTTTTCATACCATTTTTATAAGCTTAAGATTTTATCATAATTGTTAAAAAACTGTCCAGTTAATGACATCAATGAAGTGATGAATATTGATACATAGTTGCAGAATGTATATTGAGACAAAGATTTTCTAAAAAATCCAGTATTTTAGCCTTTAGATATTTTTATTATTATTTAAAAGTTTTTCTTTTTTTATATTTAATCACCAGAGATCTACACAGCATACAAATCAATACCATTTTTATGTACACATAGAAATGATATGAATTTGTCATGTAGATCACTTGGTGTATTCAGGTGGGTTTTATTTCTGTTTCTCTTTCTAGGCTGTAAATGTCTTGGGCTTCGAAATTATTTCCGTTCCAGTTCCTCAGCTAGCAAAACGTCTAGCATACAGTATGCAGGAACTAGAAAAATTGTTTTCTGAGTTAACAAAGAATGTGAGATGGCAGCTTTAACCCACAGTGCTTTCCCTCAAACATAGAGTCTCTGACAATACAGAGCCCTACACCAAGTGCTCCCATCGTCACTGGCATTTGCTTTACCTTTGATACTATAAATGATCCAAATACTTTTTGTTTGCTTATCCATTTTCTTTTTCTTTTGCTATAGGGTGCATGTGCTTGCCAGAAAGACAGAGAGAGACAGAGAGACAGAAAACAAGAAATCACCCCCGCCCCCAGGGGGGAGGTGGCCACGCCACAATCCCTTCTCCTCCATTCTCATCTTGGGATCTTGGGCACAAACGCACATGGGCCCAGTGGGAGTTGAAGCCACTGGATCCAGGACTCGAACTGTGGTCGACTACATGAGAATCCAGTGACATAGCTGGCATAGCCATTATACCAACTGCTTGTCCCTGTTTATCCATTTTAGACAGGAAAGTATCCTATGTGCTTATCTACATCGGCAGAAGTGTGGTGGGAATTACTTCTCTAACACTCCATTACTTGCAAAATGTAATGCATCTAGACATTGCAAGTAAAAACCATGCACTAAATGGCAATCAGCATTCATTATCTTAAAAGCACATATTCCATGTATGATAAAAACAAAACACAAGGGTTATGTCCTCCAATCTTTGTGAAGCTCCAAATTATAAAATTGGAACTGTTTAGATAGGCTTCTGGCTGTTTCCCAGCTCGTATCTTCTTGAGAGTCATGTGTTTCATGACCTCAGCCTCACATCACAATGGAACTGTCTTTCAATCTTTATTAAAGTTTTCTCCTACTTCATGGCTATTCTCATAGCCAAGATTTTTTTTTTTTTATTACTTCATAAAAATTGATGTATGTAGAGCAAGGAAACGGGGGTTGAGATGTGGAATAAAAGGAATCAGGTAGTCTGTTAGGCTTGTTACCTAGCTAGGAAGTATACTGAGGGGCCAGAAGATTGCATAGTGGTTAGGTTGCTGGACTCCCACATGGCTGACTGTGGTTCAAGTCCCGGCCCCAGTGGCTTGAAAATCATGCTGGGCGTATATGAATGTGTGCTCAAGATCCTGGGAGGATAATGGAGGAGAAGGGATTGCAGTGTGGCCACCCCCCTGGAGGGTGATTTCTCACTTTCCCTCTTACTGTCTCTGTCTCTTTCTCTGGCAAGCGCATGCACCCTAAGGCAAAAACCTCTCCAAAGAAAGAAAGAGAAAGAAAGAAGTATACTGAAAGCTCATTATCACTATCATTTTATTGATTTCTCCTTGTATTTATAATAACTTTGGGTTTTTTACATGGCAATATGTTATTTAGTTTAATGGAAGGATTCAAGACAACTAAATTTTCCTCTGTGGGTTTACGAATGTGCATGTGTGTTTTTGGTTTTGAAGGTTTTTGTTTTGTTTTGTTTTGCCTTGCCATTGGTAACACTCATGCACCAAAGAAAAGACAAAGTACCCCCCAGTGGGGCCTGGTCATGCCTCAACTCTTTTCCCTTCATTTCTCCATCCTGTGAGGATCCTGGGCATGCGGATACATGCCTGGTATGTTGCTGGCAAGGCCAGGTATTCAAACCATGGTAGGCCATGTGGGATCTGGCTCCCTCTGCCAGCTCTTAACCACTTCGTTAAAGGGCCAGCACATCCTCTGTGGCTTTTAATTTTAATCAGTGCACAGCGACTCTTTTACACTGTGTTTTTAACTTAAATCTACTTTGCTTGATATAAATACTGTCTTCCCTCTTCAATTTTCTCACATTGTATAAAATGCATTCTTATAGATGCCATATTTGTCACATCCTCCAGAAATTCCTCGATGTTTCTGGTTCAATAAAGGCATGCATCTCTGTTTTTCACTGCTATTATAACAATTTCCTTATTTTTCTATTTCTTTAATCAATACTTGAAGCTATATATATATTTTTTTTTTTTTGAGAGATTTTCACTGTAGGGCGCGTGCGCTTGCCAGACAGACAAGAGAGAGACATAGAGACAGAAAGCGAGAAATCACCCCCCGGGGGGATGGCCACACCACAATCCCTTTTCCTCCATTCTCCCCTCAGGATCTTAGGCATGCACGCACACGCACCTGGCATGAGTTTAAGCCACCGGGTCCGGAACGCAAACTGCGTTCAACTCCATGGGAGTCCAGTGACATAGCCTTTACACTAACTGGTGGTCCCTTGAAGCTATAATTTTATGTTTATTTTTATTCTGTAGAATGTCATTTTATAATTTTAAGCTGTAACTTCTTAATTGTATACTTTTCTCATTTCTTTCTTCTTATTAAGCTCCCCTACAGTCTTACTTCCTCAGGCCCATTTGAACTATGCATAATTGCAATTCTCTAATGAAGGGGAAAAAAAGGGGGGATACTTTACTATCAGTAATGTGGCCGACATAAGACAATGCAATTTAAATTTAATTACACTTACATTTTAAAAATTCCACCAATTTTTTTGTTTGTTTTAGATTTTTGCTATAAGGTACATGCACTCCACAGGAAAAAAATAAATTCCTTCTCCTCCATTCTCCTCTTGGGATTTTTGGACACACACATACATATGCCCGGCATGAGGTTCAAACCACTGGGTCTGGGGCTTGAACCACGGTTGACCATGGAGTCCAGCAACTTAACCACTATGCCACCTGCTGGTCCCTCTCATCAAATATTTTACAGACAAACAAAGTTAGTAATACTACCAGTGATAAGATTTAATAAATGAAAAAGAGAAGTCGATGTGAAATTTAAGCTTATCTAACACTAGACTATTTATGTCTTGGAACTATGCTGCAAATCACAGATGAGCAGATTGCCTTCTCCAAGAGGTCACCTCTCGGAAGGCCCACACCTGAGTCATTTACTAAACAAAGCCAAAATAAATGAACACAGGGAGGTAAGATGACAGGGAGTGACAATTGATTCAACAATCTGCCGAGACCTACTCACAAGAAGTCCTGCAGATACACAGGCAGGTTCCTAAATTGTGTTGAGCACACAACTGAAATGCAGCGTCTTTTGGAGTGCTGGAATGATACAAGTGTTTGGCTAGCTCCAATACGCTACCAGAATAAGTCTGAATATACAGATTTACAGAATTCACTGTGGAAATAAAAACAGGACCTTCTTTTTTAAAACTATTTTTTGGAACCAGCAGTTAGCATGATGACTGTGACACTGGAGTCCCATGTAGTCGACTGCGGTTTGAGTCCCAGGCTTGGTGGTTTAAACTCATGCTGGACACATGTGCGTGCATGCCCAAGATCCTGAGAGGAGAATGGAAGAGAAGTGATTGCCACGTGGCCATCCCCCCAGGGGGTGATTTCTCACTTTCTGTCTCTCTGTCTCTCTCTGTCTTTCTGGTGAGCGCACGTGCCCTATAGCAAAAACCTCTCCAAAAAAAGAAAATTAAAAAAAAGAAACTATTTTTAACAAATTATTCATTTCATTTTATTTATTATTATTATTCCATTTGACTGGGGAAGGGGTGAGAGATCAGGTCACCAGGTTCAGGACTGAAACAATGGTCAGCCAAGTGGGAGTCCAGCACTTCAATGACCACGCCACCTGCTTGTCCCAAACAGGACCCCTTATAGTGTAGGTAAGAGAGAATGAGGACAGCAGCCAGTTTAAACATACATTCAGTATCACATCTCTTTGTCTCTCATGCTTTTCTCTCAAAGATCTCTGCCAAGCACTGTGTGGTACAGTGCTATAATTTTCACTTTTATTATACTTTTTTAGTAACAAGGAGTTGGAAATGTAGCTATGTAATGTGGAGATGGCCTAAACATACTTTTGCATTTTTTTTTAATAAATGGGAATGAGGCCAATTTCATCAAGATTTGCCCTGAAATTGGTATGGAAAACGGGCATCAAAATTCCTGGTAAATATGATATGGGAAAAAGGTCCTAGTTAGCTTAATAAATAGGGAAAATAATTGGCTAAAACAGATGAGTGGTGAATGAGAAAAATATTTCCTTAGTAGCGTTGGAAGCAAAGGTGGAAACAGTGTGGATGAGCCAGGGCATGGAGAAAACATATGATAGGAAACAGCCCTCAGGCAGGAAGGAAACCTGACCAAACGACAGGCTCCATACTGACCCAGTACCTATAATTTCATCTAAATGGCAGTATGGAAAAAAATGAGAGGGAACCCAAGAACATTACGAAAAGCACATAAGCCTGTCTGTCTTTCTGCATCTAACGCTACGGGGACTTGATATCCAAATCACACAAGGGCCGAGCCTGCTCTGTGACGTGTAAGACGAACGATCTGCAAGCACATTCTTCCTGCAGCATCTGTGGGTGTAAAAGTATAGTCCGGAACTGAAATTCTTAGTTTCTGTCACAGTCGTAAAAGAGCAGGGAACACTGGACATCTTCCCTCTCACGTGTGGGATCAACTCGAGTACCCTCCTTCCTCCCCAAGTCCCACTAGGAGAATCATGTCTTTTTTCTTTTATTTGTGGAAGATTTTTCATCTCCCAAAGGAAAGAGGCTCTGTTATTAACTAGGGTGAAACAAAATCGAGGCCCAAGAGAAGTCTGATCATGTCAATGATTAGTTTTTAGTTTTATGCTCACATGTCTGAAACAGTGCCAGGATCACAGGAAGTGAATTTTGAATAGATCTGAAAGGTTGCAGAGCGCAACTGCATGGAGGTGAGCAATGCACGTCTCAGGATTTGCACAGCGAAGGGAAACATGGCACAAATGTGATGCCGTGAGTCCTCCTCCCAGACCAGGGCTCTCTGCACCACCGCTGATTCACTCTCATTGTCCATGTACATAAAAGTGATGAAAGAGCCTGGTGCATGACTAACTCCTGCCTTCCCCAGACCCAGTTATTATTCCAAAGAGACAGAGCTGAGGAGGTCGAGGATAGGACTGGATGTGGCACGTCGCCACTGGTCTTCTTTCTTCTGCAACTTGCTGGTAAATAATGCATCCCTTTCAGAATTTAATTTCACATTTTCAAAGGTCAAAAGGTAGCACACAGTCAATCTTTATACTTCTATATAAAAAGCATTAAGAAAAGGCATAATATTTATAATGTTATTTTCTCCTTGATGCCACTAGCAAATAACATTTTGTAACAACATTTACTTGATATCATACTGTAAGACACCCGTAGCAGTTTTTTTTTATTACTTATGTTAGAGATACAATTGGTGATAATCTTTTTTGTTGTTGTTGTTAGGTTTTTGCTATAGGGCGCGTGCACTCACCAGAAAGAGAGAGACAGAGAGATAGAAAGCAAGAAATCACACCGCAACGGGGATGGCCACGCCGCAGTCCCTTCTTCTCCATTCTCCTCTCAGGATCTTGGGTACGCACGCACACACACCCAGCATGAGTTTAAGCTACCAGGTCTAGGACTTGAAACACAATTGGCTACATGGGAGTTCAGTGACATAGCCATTACGCTAACTGCTGGTCCCTGGTGATAATCTTTAAAAAAGAGCTTGCAAGAGTTAAGCCAAACTTTCAAGTAGGGAGTTGGTATGCTGGCCTCTATGAAGAGGCTTTATTTAATATGCAGTTCTCCAGGGTCAAGATTTGACCCTCAGCCTTGTAAGGCTTAGAAAATAGATTGATGGCTGAGGACAGACCCATCTCTATGGGGAGGAATCACAATAACTAAGTTGACAAGATCTGATATATAAAACCAGAAATGTATGAATGTCCAACAAGAAATAGATCTGTCCCCGAAACAGGATTACACACAGTTACATGTCCAGTTCACTAATTTACAGTAAACAAAAATAATAAAAGCAATCAATATATTTGAGAGGCCATGGACAGAACATTCTCTTCCTATGAGCTAATCTGCATTGGAAAGAAAAATAATCAGGGTCGGCTCTGTAGCCCAGCAGTGAAGCACTATGCAGAGGAAGCTGGAGCCTACATAGTTGACCAGGGTTCTAGTCCAGGTTTAGCTTACAAGGTGCATGCACCACACACAGGTGTGCCCAGGGTCAAAATGGAATGGAGAATTGGAGGAAAAGGGATTGTGGCATAACCAGGCTCTATGGTGCGTGTGTAGGCTGGTGGACGGGTGCTCCCGCCTCTTTTTTTCTCTGGTGCATGCACATACACCTTCTGGTATAGTAAAAAAAACCAAAAAAGATTCATAGGCCTGGAGTCAGAACAAGGGAAGCCAGATTCATGGACTGTTTTATGGCACTAGGATTTTGTGCATGTATGCACTCAGTATGATTTTTAAGACATGCATTCAGTATGATTTTTAAGACACCAGGTTCTGGACCAGGAATTGAACCATGGTTGACCATGTGGGAATCCAGTGCTTAACCACCATCCCACCTGCTGACCCACACCCTACTTTTAATGTAATCTATAATACCAGTAATAGGAAACTTCACTCCATTTTTTTCAAGAATGCATTTTTCTATCATTCCTGAAGGAGAGGTTTCTCTATAACCTTCATAAAAGAATGTGAGCTCCTGACAGCAGAGATCTCTAATCTGTTCACTGATTTATCCAACTGTCTGGAACTGTTCAGTGCTTGATAAATATTTATTGAATGGATATATGACTACAGCTTACAACATAAACTATATATTAAAAAAAACCTAAAAACTGGATGTGAAAATTTAAATCAAGGGCCAGCAGTTGATGTAATGGCTATGTCACTGGATTCCCATGAAGTCAATCATGGTTTGAGTCTTGAACTCAGTGGCTTAAATTCATGCCAGGAGTGTGTGCGTGCATGCCCAAGATCCCAAGAGGAGAATGGAGGAGAAGGAATTGCAGTGTGGCCATTACCCCTTGGGGATGATTTCTCACTTCTATCTCTCTATCTCTGTCTGTCTTTCTGGTGAGTGCACACACCCTATAGCAAAAATCTCTCTGGAAAAAAAAAATACACACGATCACCTTGATCTCGCTCTCTTAATCCACTATCTTTCAAAACATCATTCTTAAAAAAGATTTCCATGAATATCTGTTGGCATTTATCAACATGAACTTATTTCAAACTCCTTTTGTTATAATCTTTATGTTTTTTCATTCATTTTCTTTAAATTTGAACTTGAAAGAAAGAATTAGTTGGGAGGATTTAAAAAAGATGGTAATTATAGAGTATATAAGTTAATGGAAAGGCTTTACCTATGACTTTATTCTTCTTTCCATTTTTGATAGGTGTACAAAGCAGACTTCTAATGCCCTGCTGATTTACACTTCCTGTGTTTTCATTCTAAACAAAAACAAAAACAAAACAGCTAAAACAACAAAGAAATTGATTTGTCCATTAGATGCCATATGAACTATATGGCATATTTGAAACTACTAATATAGTCATCTTTTATTAGCCAGAGATAATATCGGAGTGCAGAAAATGCACAAATTATAATGAAGTTCACTTAAAAGTAACATAAAGCAATGTTTTAATTTAAAAAAAATTAAGTTTTTTCCTTTTAACTTTGTAACCAGTTTATGTAGTACTAAATAAAATATTTATTCAGTTATCTACTATTGAGGTGGAGAAGACGTCCCAAATAATTTAACAAGTGGAGAAGAATCCAGAAGCCTTGCGCCCCCTGGGATGGTGCATGTTATAAACCTTCTTTACCAATAACTCTGTTTCTGTTGCCCATTTGCTAACGCTCTGAAAAGGTCTCCTGGATATGCAAATACCAAGATCAAAGCCAGCACTGCAAAGCACAATGCTTTTCTGAAGTAAGATGAGAGAGAATACTAGAATTCAAAGTCTTCAATGTCTGAGAAACAGATCTCCATAACTTGGCTATCAGGGAAAACAGATAGCCATTTTCCCACCAAGCTACTCACTATGGCAAGTTACCAATTATCAGCTTAAGCTGTATGCAACTAAATTTCTGTGGCAAAACAAAACAAGAACTATAGCACTACCACCTAAGGAATGTCATTAACATTATGTAAGTAACAGTTCATTAAAATTAGCATATGATAATTCATTCACACATGCCCAAATACTGAAAAATGTGCGGAGAAAAATACTCGAGTGTAGCACTCCTAACACGATACAAGCTATTGAATATTTTGTTCTCCTTTGTCAGATCAGGGGAAGCACAGAACACAGACCCTAGTCAGCTAATTCCAGTCCTCTAGCTGCCGAGTGACTGTGAAGGCCAGATCTGATAGGAAAATCGCCCCCACACTTCAAGTCTAAAAGCGGGCTACTTACTGTCCAGGGAAATCTCCTGTCTTTACTGACATCTGGGATATTAAGTGGTTCCATGGTATTTTTGACATACTGAGCATACATGTAATTGATTTTATTTGCATCACGTTCCCTGTGGAAATAACAGAGATGAGTTCCTTCCATGCAGTGAGAAAAGATGGGCAAACAAATTAAAAACATGTGATTAAAGGATAAACCTAATAGTCTTAAATTATAGGGCAAAAAAATAGATCTCATTTTAAAGTGCAGCTTTAAATGTGTTTGGCGATTTCCAACTTTTTATTATTTTTTAATTTTGTTTTCTTTTATACATTCAATCACATTATTATTTGACTTACAAAATGGATATTTCAATAGGTGAACATTTCTCCCTAGTACAGTTGATAAAACTACAAAATATCTCCAACAGATAATACCACCTTTCTTTGTGCCATGAATGCTTTAGTAGTGACTACAATTTAAACATTTTGAAAAGACGAAAACTTTGGAAGTTTGCAACTACTTAAAACAAGTTTTGAAAGTAGCTTAAGTAGTCTTAATGAGCACGCAGAATTTTGTGTTACTTGCTATAACGTTCATATAGATTTTCCTCTGTGTCGTATTTTCTCATCAAGTTACAGAATAACTGAGGTCTCATCCTTGTTTTATTTTTTGTTTATTCATTTTATGTACTAAGTCTAATAAAAGAATCTTTTACTATCCTATGACCAAGGTAGAAATCAAGCAGGCCTGGATGAGCCTTATCAAGTTCTTCTCTCTAGTTGAATCTTCTTCTTTCTCTCATTTTTTGGTACTCATTTTTTTTCCTTCTGACTGGGTGGCTCTTTGAACTGAAGCACAGAAACTCTGGAACTCCCACATTCTGGAAATGATATTTCCCTTGGAAATTTCTGGTCAGCTCAGCTTGCAAGAGCTCAACGATGCTTTAATCCCCTTTGACACATTCCTATAATTATGTATTATGTTCAGCTTGAATATATTTTAGTTTTACACTTCACATTCCCAAACTGTCTTCAGTATAAGTTATAAAAGATAATTAGTAGATTGGTTGGAAAAATCTCAGATGAGCCAGGCTTTTCAACTGACAAATAACTGCCTAAAAATAAGATGGACCCACTGCTAACATCACCAAAGCTCCACGCTGCCAAGTACTCCATCTTGTAAGAGAGTGTTTGGATTGGAAAGTGCTAAAGTGTTTAATAAAGAGAATTGGAGTGTTCTAAATTCTATTCATAACCATTTTTACAACATCATAAAAAATCTGCTAATGACAGATATGTATTAATATCAACTTAACTCTTTTTCAAGATGCTGAAGTTACTAAACACCATTTTAATTCACTTTTGTACTGATACCTAACTTTTATTAAAATAATAAATGTCATTATATAACTAAGAGGTCTTTTATTGTGTCATTAGAATAATGACTTACGTTACACTGTTTAGCTGACCTAAGCCATTAATGCTGAATGATTTCCATTACTGTAAAATAAGTTAATAAATGAGTTCAAATTAGTTTATTTTTAGATAATCACACTGACATACTTAACATTTATGAAAAATAATTTTTACTAAGTCTGTCTTAAAATTATTTCTAAAAATGCTAAGATATCTTTCATTTACAGAGAAGGATCATTATTTCATCAGAAACAAATACATAGCAAGACTTTAATTTTTTTATTTTAAAAATGCATATTCGCCAGTAGAGGGCACTACTACACCAAGTCACTAGTCACTAGAAAAGACCAGGCTGCATTTATGATAAAAATTAAAATAACAGCACATAAAATTTAATTTGCAGATGTATACTGTTGTACAAATATTCAAAGGTGAATTTAAATAATTCATTTTAATATGAATTATCATACCAATTTCCCTATTGTCCTATAGCGATAAAGGTAAATACATAAATGTAGATGTGTATATTATTTATAGATATAATAACTTATTACTTATGCAAGATAAAAATAAAATATGTAAATATTTACACACATCTAGGAACTTTCTAAAATGCTCTTTTATTTAATTTTTTGTAGAGATTTTTCGCTATAGGGTGTGTGTGCTCGCTAGGCAGACACAGAGAGACATAGAGACAGAAAGCGAGAAATCACCCCCCAGGGGGGATGGTCACGCCACAATCCCTTCTCCTCCATTCTCCTCTCGGGATCTTGGGCACGCACGCACCTGCGCCCGGCGTGAGTTTTAAGCCACCGGGTCCGGGACGCAAACCATGGTCGACTACGTGGGAGTCCAGCGACATAGCCATTACGCTAACTGCTGGTTCCCTAAAATGCTCTTTTTTAAAAGAGCCACAAAGCTATTATAGCATTATAGAATAAAACAACATATATCAAAGTTCCTCCTATGAATAAGATACTTCCCAACTGAGCTAGGCAGCATTTAGGAGGCATACACACACACCATGATGGGTGCGCATTATCACACCTTCAAAAAGGATTTCATACGGGGACCAGCGGTTAGTGTAATGGCTATGTCGCTAGACTCCCACGTGATTGACTGTGGTTCAAGTCCCAGACCCAGTGGCTTAAACGCACAGCGGGCGCGTGTGTGTGTGTGTGCCCAGGATCCCAAGAGGAGAATGGAGGAGAAGGGATTGTGGTGTGGCCATCCCCCCAGGGGGTGATTTCTTCCTTTCTGTCTTTCTGTTTCTCTCTGTCTTTCTGGTGAGTGCACACGCCCTATAGCAAAAACCTCTCCAAAAAAAAAAAAAAAAAATGATTCTACACAGATCAAAACAAGGTCCAATATGTCAAAAAGACAATGATTCCAGAAAAAACAGGCTTAAGAGATGGGACAAAATAAGAATCTTAGGAAAGGGGAGGTATAGAGAGGGGATATCATCTTCAGCTCATGACCAGCAAGGTCAAGAAGCAAGTAAGGGTAGTATTCATTCATTCATTCAAGACTATATGAACCCAAAACTTCAGGACTGAAGAGAAATCTCCAGGTCACAATACCATACCTTGTTGGTATCCCACACCCAACTCAACAGCCATGGCTCTACGTGGAGTTGCATCTCCTGAGTCCATGAATTCCCCACCTGCCTTCAAATTACTGCCCCACACCCTTGCTTATTCCTAAAATTCTATTAGCAGAATAAAAAGAATTAGATCATATTGTTAAGAAACAACCTGATACTAATCAATTTTTATTTCAGTATACATGCATAACTCATACAGGAAGTCGCTGAGGTTAGCAGTTGCTCCATCTTGATGGGGGATGAGTTAGGAGGACAGACAGGAAATGTATGAAGTGAGAAGGGCAGAAGAAGAAGGGAAAGGGGGCGCACGGAGGGCCTTGGCAGAGGACAGCTTCTGCATCTCTCACGATGATCTTTGGGGTCAGTCTTGCTTAAGAGGGTCAGAACAAAATGGGCTATGCACTGAGTATCTTGTTCTTGCAGCTGCAAGCCTGGAGGCTCGACCTTGTGTGATTTACAGAGATGATTTCGTTTCCCATAGTTTGTTTCTCATTTCTTATTACAAACATCTTTTTTTAAAGGGTGAACTGCTTGGAAATAGGAGAGGTCTTCAAAAAGTTTATGGAAAATGCATATTATTAAAATATGATGGGACCAGCAGTTGGTGTAATGGCTATGTTGCTGAATTCCCATGTAGTCGACTGTGGTTCGAGTCCCAGACCCGGTGGCTAAAACTCACACCGGGCGTATGCGTGTGTGTGCCCAAGATCCTGAGAGGAGAATGAAGGAGAAGGGATTGTGGTGTGGCCATCCTCCCTGGGGGATGCTTTCTCGCTTTCTGTCTGTCTCCATCTCTCTGGCTAGCGCACATGCCCTATAGCAAAAACCTCTCAAAAAAAAAAAAAAAAAGAAAAAATGATGTATAGATTTAGAATATGGTTTGCACTAAAATTAACTCGTACTTTAATTCCATTTTCCATGAACTTTGTGAGGTCCCCCTGTATACAGAAAAGATAAAAAGTAAGCTGAAAGTGAATATCCTACTCCTGGACACACCAATGTTGACAAATTTGCTTTTATCTATATATGTATGTGCAGATATAGTTATTTAAGTATATTAAATTTAAATACGTTTGCTTAATTACCTTTGGTGGAACCATTTTAAAGTAAGGCACAGATATTAAGGCACAGATATTAAGACAATTTGTCTCTAAATACTTAGCATGAATCTCCTAAAAAGAAGAACATTTTCTCCCACACTATCGTTCGAATTCCAGAGAAAATCCACAACTCTGCATTTCCACCTAGGATCCAGACCATACCCAAATTTCCAATTTTCTCCTCCAAATGTATTTTTCTCCGTAGACAGAATCTCACTATGTCAGGCTCCTTCTGCCTCAGCCTTCTATCAGCTGGACTAAGGCACCCTCCACTGCACCCGGCTCTTTTCAGGGCGGGCCAGGAGTCAAACCCAGGCCCTCCAGTGTAGCTTCATTCTGCCAAGCAGCAGCACGTGCCAACGTGAACTCTTATAACTGGGATCTCCAAAGTGTTTCTGATAGGTTTTTTTATCTTGTTTTGCACTGGGATCTAATCAAAGTTCAAGTATTGCATTTGACTGTTAGGTCTCTAAGCACAGTACCTCCTATCCACTTTATTCAATGAGGATGGCTTTATGAAGAGATTAGACAATATAGCTTAGAGAATGCTCTATAATCTACATGTACATGGAGGTTATTTTTAAAATGATTTTATTTCATTTCTTATCATCACTATTATTTGTTTAATTTGACCAAAGAGAGACAGAGAGAGAGAAAGGAAACATAGGAAAGCAAGCCTCCAGGTCCGGGACTCAAACTATTTCAGCCATGTGGGAGTCCAGCGCCTGGACCACCATGCCGCCTGCCAGCCCCTGGAGGTTATTTCAAAGCATCCCCACTAAAGAGCTTAGTTCTGAGAACTATACTGACTGCAACAACACACTATATGAAATAATTCTGACAGATCAGTTGTACTAAAAAAGTCTGAAACTTTATTATCAAATAATAAGATTGAAATAATTTTCCTATTTCCATATGAGGAATTTAGTTATAATATCAATAATTATAGGTAAAAGAGGTTAAAACAAATGTGACAAACAGCTTATGCACAAAAATCTCTGATATTTTATCCTGGCAGCTACCTATTCCTTGGAATATTTTGTCACTGAAGCAAATAGAAAGGGTCATAAGATAAATATAAGGAAGAACATTTGGTAGTTTATTCTAAATCGATTTCAAAATTCTTAAGAAAGCATGTATAAGATTGGGACAATAACATCTACAACCTGCATCATGTAAATTTTCTGTATTGTTTCTCAGTAATAATTAACAACAAAATAATAAATTCAATTTTAAAAACATGGAGAAAAACTGAACTACAGTAGAGATCCGACCTAATTCTAGGCATAAAGATACATAGATTGGTATGATGAGGACAAAAGGCTTCTTTTAATTACTAGTTAAATCCTTTTGGCTAATTCCAAATCAGAACAGACTTGCAAAAACACTTGTTTGAGAATCTATCAAATTCCCAGTAACAGTCCAATATGCAATAAAAATACAACAACATAAATGAGTCAGTTCACAGAAAAACTACCAAATCTACAGTCATTGCAACACCATTCACTGTATAAAATCATTCTCAGATAGGTCAACACAGTGGAAAAAAAAAATCTTGGGAACTTTAACATCAAATAGTAAAGTATTTTCATAAATTAGGTTTTTTTTTTTTTTTGAGGTGATGGGAAGATTGCTTATAACTGAAATCAAACTGGTCATGAAAGAACTGTTTAACCAACATTATGTACTTGTGATAAAGACAAAGAACAGTAAGCTGTCTTACCTTGGTAAAGTATCTGATGATTTTTCTAACTCCTCACACTCCATGTGAAACACACTAGAAAAAGAATCCTGAAAACAGAGTGACGACACAGACTCAGTAATACGTTTGACAAGGTAATGAAAACAACCTAGATATAGGCATATGTGCTTTGGAATCAACTAACCACACCAATGTTTGTAGTTTATTTTTAGTTACTCTCAGACTAAACGGACCCAAGCTATATAATAATTTCATAACACCCTCCAAGCTGCTCCCCATTATTAAGAACTTTCTTTGTATAATTTCCTTCTTTTTCTTCTTCTTCTTCTTTTTTTGTAGAGGTTTTTGCCATAGGGTGTGTGTGCTCACTAGAGAGAAAGACAGAGAGAGACACAGTGGGAAGGAAAGTAAGAAATCACCCCCCCCAGAGGCAAGGCCTCACTAGAATGCCTTCACCTCCATTCTCCTCCCGGGATTTTGGGTGTGCACACCTACGCACCCAGCATGATTTTAAGCTGCCAGGTCTAGGACTTAAACCACAGTTAGTCATGTGGAAGTCCAGCGCCTTAAACGCTACCAACCCCCATTTTTATCATTTCTGATCCTCACTTGCAAAAAAGCTTATTTGTCATTTAGCTTGTTTTTTTTTTTTCTATCTGGTGTTAATAAATATATCTGAAACTTTTTTTAATTAATTAATTTACATTATTTTTTTAAGAATTTCTTAATTTTATTTATTCATTAACTTATTTTAATTTGACCATAGAGAGACACACAGAGAAAGAGAGAGAGGGAAAGCGAGAAAGCAAGCCACCAGGTCCAGGACTTGAACTGTGGCCATGTGGAAGTGTCCAGCGCCTTAACTACCATGCCACCTGCTGGTTCCTAATTTACAGTCTTTC